TTGGTAAATCGCTTCGTGATATCTGTCGCTCAAACACGCTAGAGCATCGTTTGCTGGAAGATGGCTTGTCCAGAACACTTTGTAATGACTGATTTTTATTGAAGACAAGCGGCTGATGATCGGGGAGATGAAAGCTTAGCCTAATTACATATGGGTCTCTGTAATGAATATCAAAATTAAACAGCCTCCACATTGCCTCACATGCCGGCAAATATCTGCAGTCGTAGTACATCTTTATCTCGCCACGAATCTCAGCACCGCAATCAGTATTGCGTGTTTCATAAAATGCCGCCATAACTCGATCATGGCTCTTGTTGATGTATTTGAACAGGTATTTGTTTGACTTTTTTTTTTGGTTGCATAGCTCTATATTAACGTGAGCTCTGTATTTACTCAACAATACCCGATTGTACGGAACTACAAACTCATTGTCAAGAGTAGTCTTTTTCTTCATAACTGTTCTGCCATCTTCCCATCTCCTGTACACAGTATAACCATTTGCATCTAACTTAGTTTGCTGCACAAATGGCTTGGTAAATCGCTTCGTGCAAACTCGATCCTTCATACAGAGAGATTTCAAATTCTCCTGACCGTACGGTCCATGTATCATATACTTCTCCACCAACTGGTACATATTTCTGTCGATTTCTTCCTCAGGAATTTCAGCACATATAATCCTATCAATTTTTTCTGGGGTCTTGGCGTTGTCATCATTATGCAACCACAACAAAATATGTGCATGCGGTAGATCTCGTTTTCTGAAATTCAATAGTGCAAACGTCTGGAGGGAAATGTAAACAAATGATATTAAGCAATATGCATTAATTTAGTTAATGAATAAATAAATATTTAAACTCACACATGATCCATATCTCTAATTCCTATGGATGTAGTAAATGTATAATTATAAATTGAGATCTAATTAAATACTTACATGCTCTAATATGTACGAATATACGCCATTTCTTAATTTTTCTCATCATACTGTCGAGCTTCATATTAAACTCACGACACAGAATGTCTTGCCGATCCTCCGACCTAAGATTTGTATCTTGCAATACCCTTTGTATTTCAGGCCATCGAGGATTGCCGATGAAGAGAGTTCGAAATTCAATCCAATTATATATTTGAAGAGCATCAACGAAGTTGTTAAACATATATCTTGGACCTGCGGTGAACGACCCTGAAATTATAATGCGTTGTCCAATCGATTTACCCTCGGTGTCTTCTTTAAAAATTTTGTCTTCGATACCCTTGTACATGTCAACCCTAAGTCCATCCTGATTTAACCTTACGAAATTCAACCTCAGTGACTCAACCATGGAAAATCGATCGACACCGAACTACTAAAATAACTTCTTAGCATGCAAAAGTACTGAATTTTCTCCACGTCGTTTATGTATTAGGTATGCAAAGAACTCTCGCATGCTCACCTTCCTCCGTTTTCTATTATCCGCAAGCGAAGATTCTCTCAAACTTATATCGTCTCGATAATCATCTTCCCCGTAAGGAAACAAAAGAGGATACTGTAGAGGAAGGTAATGAGGATGGAGCTCACTGATTCGTTGAAGCTTATTCGAGCGTGTCTCAACGACAATGTCCCTAACACCCTATTGTGTGTCAAAGTCCCCGACAATCAAGCGTGCCATTTCACTGGCGTTCGGAAGATTGTACGTCCTGCCATCAGTAATGCGGCTTTTACCAATCTGAGTTTTACTCCATGATGGCCATCATTGGAAAAACGATCTCGAACAACTCGGTACGACTATGCAAGTACATTGTTACCATCAATCATATCTTTCAACGATGCCACGATGTGTGGGTCAAGATCGTTAGATTGGTTTCCTGACCTGCCAAACAAATAATATTTTAATTATAATTTGTAAACTCTATACTATTTTAAACAGGAA